TATATTTTATAATATATATAAAATTTAATTATAAATAAATTTAAATTTATATTTAAAAATAATAGAATTAGTGAAACAAAAATATATATATATATATATATATATAAAATATATATATATATATATATATATATATATATATTTTTAATAATATAATTATATAAAATATTTAAAAATTATTTAAAAAATTATTTTAAGAAATTTATGTACTATAATAAATATAAATTATTTTCTTTTAATTCGTTTTAAATCACATTAATAACAAAATAATAATACATTTTATTGAAAAAATTAATAAAAAAAACTTAAATATATAAAAAATAAAATAATATAGATATTTTTTTTAATAAATTATATTTAAATTTTATAATTGTATATATATATATATATATTTGATTATCTTTTTTAATATTATAATAAAAAAAATAAACAAAAATTATATTAAAATAAAAAAAAAAGAATAAAATTTTCTATTAAAATTATATAAAAAAAAATATAAATATATTAATTTTTTAAAACTTTATATTTTAAAGATATATAATTTATATCGAAATAGATTAAAATTATTTTATTTTATATAAGTATAAAATTAACGAAAAATTAATTTTATACGTATTTTTTTTTTAAATATATAATTTGTTACAAAAATAATTTTATAAATGTTTATATTTATATTTATTTTATAATTATTCGAATATATAATTTTATAAATGATTATTTTCATTTTTTGAAATTTAAATATTCAATTATAAATGATTAATATATTATTATGATTATTTTTCTGATTTAATATATTTTTGATTTTGATATATAATCATGTTTTTTTAAAAAAAATAAGATAAATATTTTTTCCTCTATTATAATATTTCTAATTTGATATTTTTTAAATTAATTTTATTTTAACTTAAAAAATATAAATATTTAAATTTATATATATATCTTTTTTTTTATGACATAATTTAATGTTAAAATATTTTAAACAAAAAAAACTGAATAATTATAAATGAAAATATGAATAAAAATATTTTTTTTATTAAATAAATAAATAAATTTTTAAAGATGTGTTTCTAAATACTTTTATAATTTATCTATTCCATATAATTAATTTTATTATATTTAGTTATTTTTTTATTATTAATTAAAAAAAATATAATTAATAAAAAAATATATATTAAAAAATATCTTTTTTATTTTAAAGTGTAAACATAAAATTATCAATAAATTAATTTTTTTTTTGTAATAAATTTTTTAATAAAATTAACAAAAATAAAATTGTATTATTTTAAATAAATATATATAAAAAAATTATTCTGATAATTTACAAGTAAAAAATTAAATATTATGATTTAAAAAATTAGTTTTTTCATATTTTATTACAAGATATCTATTTAACATTTATTTTATAATAATTATATACTTGATTAAATTCTAATAATTTTTTATTTTAGTTTTTGTGATAAATGTATTTACATATAAAAAATCTTTATTATTTAGATATAAATAAATACTATTAATTATTCCTATATATCATTAAATATATCAAACAAAAAATATGAAAAATTAAAAAAGTTTATAAATTATAATTTTGTTAATAATATTTCTATCATAATTGGTATTAAGAGTGAATAATCATATATGTAATCATGATGCCGAATTTAATTTTTCATAATTAAATGACCAAATACAATAAACACGAAGAATCTTAAAAGAAGAAGATCTTAAAAAACCAGAAAAGAGAAATTTATAGAATAATAACACTTTGAATCCGAAACCTATAAGAATTACTTTTTATTATCCTAAAAATGAGCTAAATTAAATTTAAGTAGATTAATAGATATATTCTAAAGTAAAGATTGTAGTAATATAGTTGTTGATAAAAAATACAGAACTGATGGTGAAAATAATTCTGATATACATATTTGGGTTGCTTAAAGTTCAAAAATATAAGGTTTAGCTAATGCTATTTATTGCTAGTTAGATGATACTTGAAAAGAGTTAATTATGGCAGAATTAAGGTGAATATGAGTTTGCTAGATAAATAATAATCTAATTTTGGATTTAAATCAGATTTTAATAATATTTTGCATGAATGCTTTCATATTTTAGGATTTTCAAGTGGCTTATATTAATTTTGGATAAATCCTTAAACCGGAGATTACTATGATAATGAAATAGATAATTTATAAGAAAAGTATCTATAATTGGTAAAAATACTTTTATTATGTCTACACCTTGCGTATTTGATATGCTAAAAAATATTATGCATGTCCTATTTAGAAGGAATGTAATTAGAGAACAATGGAGATACTAAATTTATTGGTTCTCATTGGAAAGAATTAATCCTCTTTAATGAATTGATGGCTGCCGAGTCTTCTGGAAAAGACTCTCAATTGTCTGTTTTTACTATTGCTTTATTGAGAGATACTGGTTATTATGCCGAAGTAAATGAAAGTATGGCTGATGATTTTTAATCGGGAAGAAATAGAGGATGTGATTTTGTTCTTAAAGCTTGTTAATCTGATACTTAATATCCAGAATTTACTTAAAAGAAATATTCTCCAGATTAATGCACTTCGAAGAATAATGGTTATGGAAAAGTTAAATAAATTGATTTATATGATAATTGTAAAACAGTACAAAATACATTTTATTGTGAAGATTCAGATTTGAATAATTATGTCAATAATTTTTCTTTTTAATATTTTGGAGTTAATTCTAAATGCTTAAAATCTACTTCTATTTAAGGAAATAATAAATTTTAATATAGTAATGCTCGTTGCCATTTAGTCTAATGTTCTCCTGATTCAACTTAAATTACGATAACTTTTACTCAGTAAGCATTATAATTATTACTCTGTACAAAATAAGATTAAGGAAAAGAAATTTAAGTCGTGAAAGGATAACCAGAATTTGGTTACATTACTTGTCCTGATAATTATAGAGAATTTTGTAATTATACACCTGAATGTCCTAATTATTGTTCTCGAAAAGGTATTTGCATACTTGGATAATGTCGATGTTCATCAAGGTGGTCGGGAGCTGATTGTAATATTAGTTTAAAAAATTGCCCTTATTTTACTTTAGAGGAAGATCCCTAAAAATGTGTTTAATAATGTCCTTCAGATAAATTTCCAAATCCTGATAAAGTATGTAGAAGTAACTGTCCTAAAAGTTTTTACTTTAGTAATTATAGAAATGATTGTGTGGAATGTAATTATTAGTGTTTATCATGTTCTGGCCCTTCAAAAAATTAATGTCTAGAATGCGGTATTTCAAAATATTTAGAAGAAGGATAATGTGTAAATTAATGTAGCAGTAACTTTATATTAGTAAATTAAAGAAAATGTGTAAAATCAGTAGATTAAGGATGTGAATAAGAATGTGAGAGATGTGATTCTGAAAACAAAGTAATATGCACTAAATGTAAAGATTAGTACTTCCTTAACTTAAAGACTGGTAAATGTGTTGTTGCTAACAATTGTCCTTAAGAAACATTCGCTAATGAGGAAAATAACACATGTTAAATATGTGAACTTACAGGATGTATATAATGTATTTCTTAAACTGTATGTTAAGTGTGTGATGAATAATTAGGATTTTTTAAAAAAGGTGATTAATGCGCTAAATGTCCTTAAGGATGTTAAAAATGCTCAAGTGATCTATAGTCTTGTACTGTTTGTTATAGTGGATTATTTTTATAAGAAAGAAATTGTGATATTGATTGTCCTTCAAATAAATTTTAGGATTAAAAAAAAAGAGAGTGTATTCCAATTTCTATATGTAAGAGGTTATTTTTATTTATAAAATAAATGTATAAAACAATGTCCTAAATATACTTTTAATAAAACAGCAAATGCATACAATGTCCTTAAGGTTGTTTAATGTGTTGGACTAAATCTAAATGTATTTAATGTGATAGTTAACACGATTTGGTTCATATATATAATACAATTTTTAATTGTTAAGTAAACTCAAAATATATAAATTAATGCATCTCACCTTGTTTAACTTGTTTACCTAATAATAAATATTCATGCTTATCATGTTAACAGGGGCTTTTATTAGATAATTAATGTTATGGTGATTGTCCTGACACTTTTTATCCTGATTATGATAAATAAGCCTGTATT